CCCATTCATTTTTCGATGCAAAATGATAGCACATGATATGATTTAGAGGTTTTTCAAATAAAAAAGAAATATCACGATCGGTGCAAAATCATGTTGTATTGTATGATCTGTGAGCCAACTTATAATAAAAGTTTGAAATTCATTGTTTACCATAATCCAAATATTCTGAATCTCTGACATACATTTTTTATAAGCTTATATTCGTATTTTAAATTTAAATGCATATGGTTGCATACATTTAGTAAGTTCTCGAAGCAATTTATGAATTACATTTGGGTTTGTTTTTGCTGGCAGTGGTAGGAGAAATTTTTACACACAAGTGGTATACCACATGATATTATATAAGTGGTAGAAATTTTTATTTTTTCTGTTATTAATTTTTTAATACAAGAATCTCACTACTTGTATAGAAACACGTAGTGTACCACTCCGTGTTCCGATCACATTGAAAAAATATGTGCAATGGTAGGTCGTTGTTTAAGACGTATCACATGTGTTTTCTCTTTTTACAAGAACCGATATAAATATTTTCATTATTAAGTGCATGATCATGTTAATATATCTATTTTAATGACCAATTTATTGATCAGGAAAGAAATCTGTACAATGAACAATAATGGTAAAATCTTTAAACGATCACAAGAAATTAAAGATGATAGTACGAATTTGCTACGCAGACTACAATTGTGACAACCTTGAAACCAAAGCCAATCGTTAAGACAAGGAGGCCACATCAACTCACTGAGCCAAGACATGCCCACTAAGCAAGACATCACAAAAACTTAAACTACACTATTTAATTATTCTTTATCTTTAAATCAAATTCAAAAGTAAATCATTAGACCTTTTTAATTACTCAGTAACTAAGAGAACATTTATTTTTGAAATATATAAAAATAGTAACGTTGAAGTTTATACGAATCTCAAGTTGAGGTAATCAGTTTCTAAAACAAAATGTTTTCACGTGGCCCTCTTGGAATGTGACAAATGTTGATTTATATCCATTGATCACGTGAAGATAAAATATGTAGCAACTGAAAATTACCACCACAAAGTTTCATGAGGTTGTCAAAGTCTTAGAAATTAAGATCCGTGGAAAATTAAGCTTAAAGGAAAAGTTGAAACCTTTTGCTTTGTGGTTAAGGGAAAAGTTGAAATATTTTTGCTTTGTGGTTAAAGGACAAGTTTTACTGTAGCCTGAAAAGTATAAAGGGATGTACAACAATAATGTTAAGAAGTTAAATGGTTAAGTGTTAGAGCCAAGAAAAACCAATGAGATCGACCCACACCATAATAAATAAATATGATTGATTGATGGTCATTGAATTCTTGAGTTAATAAAAACAAAGATTATCACTAGATTTTGTTAGTTTTTTCTTTCAAACGATAAAAATAATTACACCAATTTATTTAAATTACGGTGAGTATGCTAAATTTCATGTAATAAAAAGAATATTTTAGTTCGACATTACAACTTCCTGTAGAAACTTATGATTCTGTGAGAGAAAGGGTAAAGGTAGAGAGAGAGAGAGAGGATTCTAGAAAGAGAAGTGTATTGATTGAATGAATTCATCTTACTGTCCGAAAGAATACAATATCATATAAATAGGTACAATTAGCTTAACAGCTAAGTAAAGTAAAACCTTTAATTACATATAGGTTCTATTATATTCCTAACACACCCCTCAAGGTGAAGGGAGGAGGTCGAACTGAAAGCTTGGAAGCCAATTCGGCAAATCTATCAGAGGGCAAAGATTTAGTGAAAATATCTGCAATTTGAAGAAGAAAAGCAACATGATGCACACTGACTTTGCCACAGAGAACCTTCTCACGAATATAGTGATAGTCTATTTCAACATGCTTCGTCCTAGCATGAAATACAGGATTGAAGGCCAGTGCAATTGCACTTTTATTATCACAGAAAATCGCTGGAGTTTTGAGAAGAGGAAAGGAAAGATCCTGCAATGCTTGACAAACCCAACTGAGTTCAGCAGCTGTATAAGCTAGAGACCTGTACTCAGCTTCAGTAGACGATCGAGCAACAGTGCATTGCTTCTTTGCACTCCAGGAAATGAGATTCGGTCCAAGAAAAGCACAGTAGCCACTGGTGGATCTTCTGTCAACAGGACAGCCAGCCCAGTCAGCATCAGACCACGCAGTGAGGTATTGAGGACTTTTTGTTAGCCAAAGACCGAAATGAAGGGTACCCTTCAAATATCGAAGGATCCGTTTAACTGCCTGTAAGTGGACTGTCCTAGGAGAATGCATATGTTGACAGACTTGGTTAACAGCAAAAGCCAAATCAAGCCGAGTCCATGTGAGATACTGCAAGGCTCCAACAGTGGAGCGATAAAAGGAAGGATCAGAAAGAGGAGAACCAGAGTGATCCAGTTTCGCATAACCAACAGGAGTGGAGCAAGGCTTGACACCAAGCATATCAGATTTCTTCAGCAAATCAAGAGCATATTTGGACTGATGCAGAAATAAACCTTTGGCAGATCGGTGAACCTCAATACCGAGAAAGTAGTGAATATCACCCAAGTCTTTCACAGGAAACATAGTTTGTAACTGAGTAATAATGGATTGACAAACCGTGGTAGAACTACCAGTGATGATGATATCATCAACATAGACTAAGATGAAAGTAATGGTAGAATCCTTTTTGATAAACAGACTGGAGTCAGAATGTGAAGAGGAGAAACCTAAAGAGAGGATAGCCTTGTGAAAAGCATCATACCAGGCACAAGGTGCTTGTTTTAAACCATAGAGTGACCGTTGGAGTTTGCAGACATGTGTAGGTTTGGACTGATCAACAAAACCAGGAGGCTGAACCATGTAGACATCCTCCTTTAATGTACCATGCAAAGGCATTACTGACATCAAGTTGATGGACAAACCAGTCATAGGAAACAGCAAGGGATAAGAGAATGCGGATAGTAGTAGGCTTTGCAACGGGACTGAATGTCTCAGAGAAGTCAAGACCCTCTTGTTGATGGAAACCTTTGGCGACAAGACGAGCCTTATACCGTTCAATAGAGCCATCAGGTTTATGTTGGAGTCGAAAGACCCATTTGCAACCAACCAAGTTCAAATGAGACTGAAACGGAACCAATTCCCAAGTGCCTGTGGATTTCAATGCTTGAAACTCATCCTTCATAGCTTGCATCCAGTTGGGATTTTTGGAAGCTTGTAAAAAGGTTGTAGGTGTGGAAGGAAGACAAGCAATAGAATCAACAGAGGCTGGAAGGGAATGTTTGGTTGCTGTGAAAACCTTTGGTTTATGAATTCCAGCCTTAGCTCTCGTAATCATAGGGTGCGAATTAGATAGAGCAGGGGCAGGTACAGTAGCAGATGGTAAACAGGGAGTAGACTGAGGAGAAGTAGCAGATGTGGATGCATTACTGTCAGGTACAGAAGATGCGTGATGTGGATTACTGTCAGGTACAGAAGATGCTTGATGTGGTGATAAACCAGCAGGACTAGCAAGCTGTGAAGGACTCAGTGAAGTCCTTGGTGAAGATGAGACAGGAATAGTGACAATAATAGGAGAAGAGCTGAGAGGTGAAGGACGCTGGGGTAAAGGAGAGGCAGAGAACAAGCCTTGCTTAAACGGGAACAGGTGTTAATCAAAAGTAACATGCCGTGAGATATACACTTTGTTAGCCACAGGATCAAAACAACGATAGCCACAATGATTGAGACTATAGCCGAGGAAAACACACAACTTGCTCTTCGGATCAAGTTTAGTTGACGAATAGGGCTGCAGCCATGGGTAGCACGCACAGCCAAAGGCTTTGAGAGTGTGATACTGAGGTACAGCATTGAAAAGTTTTTCCCAATGGCTAGTAGGAGATGCTTGAGGAGGCAGTCTATTTATAATGTAGACAGCAGTCTGAAAAGCCTCAACCCAGAATTTTGGTGCCATTCCACTCTGAAAGAGAAGAGTCCGACCCATTTCAACAACATGCCTGTGCTTCCTCTCTGCGCAGCCGTTTTGTTCAGGTGTATGCGGACAACTTAACTGATGTGTAATACCCTGTTCATTGAGAAAAGTCTGAAAATTCTTGCTTAAGAACTCACCCCCTGAATCTGACCTGAGACATTGAATCTTGCAAGAAAAGAAATTTGTAACTTTGAGAACAAAAGTCTTGAAAGTGGAGTAAACATCAGACTTATAAACCATAGGATAAAACCAGCTGTATTTAGTGTAGTCATCTACCAAAATGAGGTAATACTTGAAACCAGTACATGAAAGAGTGGGAGAAGGACCCCAAACATCTGTATGCAGTAAGTGAAAAGGCCTAGTGGAAGTACAAGGCAAAGTAGAAAATGGTAATCTAGATGCCTTCCCCATCTTACAATCAGTACAAATGGACCTTGAATTGACAGAACCAATAACAGGTAGCTGATGTTTATGGACAACATTATGTAAAACTAAGCTCGATGGGTGGCCGAGTCTTTTATGCCAGAGATGAACATCTGCCTTAGCTATCATCAATGCCGTAGGCGAGAGAGCAATGCCTGAGGTTTTATTGGATGCAGTCCAGTAGAAAGGATATAAGCCACCTTCACAGAGGCCCTGGAAAAGCATCTTCCCAGTTCTTAGGTCCTTGATATAGAACCCAAAAGGATCAAAAGTCAGAGAAGCCCAATTGTCATAGACAAATTTGTAAACGGATAACAGATTATGGGATGCTTTGGGAACCAACAACACATCATTGAGCTTAAATGTAGCATTGGAAGTACGAATTAAGGCAGATCCAGTATGAGAAATGTACAGACCTTTACCATTACCAACAAACAGCTGATCACTGCCATTGTAGGGAATTGCAAAATTAAGAGAAGATGGATCAGGTGTCACATGATGAGAGGCTCCACTATCAGTCAACCAATAGCTCGGTGGAGGAGAAGTCGCAGCCGTCATGCCAACAGGAGGTCCATGAGGTGATCTTTGAGATGCAAATTGAAGGAGGCTCACAGTTGAGAGCTTCATGACCAAATTAGAGACATAATTGGCACTGAAGAGAGCGGCCAGAAAAGGAATTGGTGAAATTCTGACCAGAGAATGTGGATCTGGAATTAGGACCAGGACCAAGAAGACTTCCAGAAGTGTTGTTGTAATGACGATTTCCTCCAAAATTGCGATTCGAATTGTAGCGATTTTTGTTCTGAAATCGACCACGGCCTCTGAAATTGTTGGAACCAGGTTGAGCCGTATAAGCATGAAAAGGTGCTGAAGAAGAAGACGGTTCTCTGGATTTGCGTTTCAGAAGAGAAATCTCTTTACTCAGGAGTAATCCATGCAGCTCATCAGGATTGACAAAGTCAGATCGTGTTTCAATAGAATCAATAAATGATTCATACTCAGTAGAGAGACCAGAAAGAATGTAGGCCACAAGATCTGAGTCAGAAATTGGTTCGCCAGCCGCGGCAAGTTTATCAGAGATTTCCTTAAGAGAGTTGAGGTAATCAGTCATTGAAGAGTCTCCTTTTTGGATAGTCTGAATCTTCGAACGAAGGTTGTGAATGTGAGTACGAGATGCACCAGAAAACCGACGTTCGAGAGATTGCCAGAGAGATCTGGAATCGTCCATGCCAACCGTCAATGGAAGGAGATCTTCAGATAATGTTGAATTAATCCAAATCATCAGGATTTGATCACGATCACACCAATTCTCAAATGCAGGATTAGAAACTTGAGATCCGGACGAATCAGTCACAAATGGAGGAGGACACACATCAGTTCCATTGACAAGCCCTAAAAGCTTGAATCGTTTCAGAACAGGAAGAAAGAGACTACGCCAAGTGATGTAGTTGTGGCGAGTGAGCTTCGTTGCAACCATGCCAGTGATATTCTGAACAGTGATCGAAGAAAGAGACGGATTGGACGCATTGGGCGCGACATTAGAACCAGAAGAACCAGCTGGAGAAGAAAGATCCGCAGAATTCACACCAGTCGCCATCAGAGAAGCAAGATTGGAGAAGAAATTGTAAGAAATTGAAGAAGGTCAAGCAGATAAGATCTGTTTGGGAGAAGAGAAAGGGTGAGAAAATTCAAGAAGACGAAAGCGGTGGATCGAGGTCGTTAGACATCGGCGAAGATAACATGTAGAAACTTATGATTCTGTGAGAGAAAGGGTAAAGGTAGAGAGAGAGAGAGGATTCTAGAAAGAGAAGTGTATTGATTGAATGAATTCATCTTACTGTCCGAAAGAATACAATATCATATAAATAGGTACAATTAGCTTAACAGCTAAGTAAAGTAAAACCTTTAATTACATATAGGTTCTATTATATTCCTAACACTTCCTACTTATTTGTTACTTTGCATTTCTTTCATGATTCATCTCTTGTTTTTTAACATGCCAAAACAATATATTTGCGAAATAAAATGTCTTATGATAAAGGGTACAGATTTGCCCAGAAATATTCTGAATTGTTGGACTTTTCCAATGTTCCACAGGGCAACGTTCAAAGTCGTCATTGACCGAACCACCACCCGTAGTTGCTTTGCTTTTTTGGTTTAATACTTTTCACACTTGCATTTTTGACTGGCCACCTTTCTTCTCTTATGGTGCCAAACGTTCTTTTCCATTGCATCCTTCACTGTTACAACTCTAATTGATTTCCAATCCAAACTTCACTTTTGTTGGGCTGATGGTGTTTTTTTTTTTTTTAACAAACGATATTATCTACATTAAGGAAATGCGGTGAGTAAAGCCTTACTTTTCACTTACATGTGAAGAAGAATATTACTAGATTGTAGTACTAAGTTATTACAGTTAGTTAAGTTAAGGACAATATCAGTGTTAAACTATTGATCAATTTTTCTCAAATTTTGACATGAATGGTCTTTTATTTGTTTTTTTGTTCACGTGAAAACCAAAAAAATATGTTGAATTATATAGCTAGAAATTTCTGTTTATATGTCAAAATTAGCCGCCCCTTTCTCCTAATTGTCCTTTTGTTTTCCAAACGTCTGCGTATAATCTTATTTTAGTTCTTTGAATTATTCTTTGTGTCAAAAACAAAAAAAAAGGCAATCATCCAAAGTCAATTTTCTACGGAAGATTAGGATTTGAACTTGGAAAAAGCCATACAATGATATATCCCACCACCATACACCACATTAAGGAAATAAGTTGGTGAATTGGTGGTATTCATATAAATCATATCCCACCACTCTTCCCACCTGCATTATCTCATGCCAACACCATCATTCATCACTCATTCCACGGAACATCTCTTAAATCCATCACGCGTGAATTTCACATCGAGAAATGTATAGAGAAATTTTTTTAGTGACTTTTTATTTGTATTATGATACGTGATATACCAGCTTGTGTTCAAGGTACATTACAATACATGTATATCTGACCGTTTGATGACAAATGTATTATCGTTCAAAAAAAATAAAAAGAACCAATCCGACAATTGTAAGCTGAAAAGGCATATGGGTTCTAAGAGCAATTCCACCTTTTTGAAGGAGGGCAAGGCAAGACAATTGGCACTACGAAAAATAATTAATTTTGTCTGTTTGGGTATGGACAAAATTGGTCCAACATTACCGCATCCATACTCAATCACACTCGCAACAAATGCATGATTCATTCATTCATTCATTCCTTGATTTCATTTCATCTTATCGCTACGTTTTCGTCCCTTCCCATTTCCCATTTCCCATTTCCCATTTCCCATTTCATTTACAAACCATATCAAAACAAAGGCAGCCACAGCCACACATTTCTTATGGATCTCTTTAATTTAACACAAAAAATACTCAGTCTTGTTCCTCCACAACTTCCTTGTCGCCAACATGCATATACAAATTATACATCAACCACTAACACACTACACACAATTTTTTTTAATGACAAGATTATTTCACACCAAATCTTACAGATAATAACACTTAGACAACCATCCTAATCAAATTCAAAGCACACATTTTTTAACCTTTCAAATTTAATTTTAATACGGAAATTTATTAGATTCTACACAGAAGTCGGCGGCGTGGAAGCGTTCGGTTCTACTTTTCTAAGCTGAATCACGCTCGGCTTCTGCGCGTCTTCGTCGTCATGGTACACGTAAGCAAATCCCCCGTGCCGGGTCAGATCCATACCCGCCATTTCGTCCTCCGCCGATATCCTCAGCAGCTTCAGCTTGTGCAGCACAAAGAACAACGGCCCCATCGTCGCGCTCACCCACCCTATAATTACCACTATCTGTATCAAGTGGGCCCCCAGCAGCTTCCCTCCGCCGCCCATAAACAGCCCGTATGGCCGCCCCTCTTTTCCCGGGTACACCTCGTTCACGTACTTCTCCCTCGCAAACAGCGCCGTGAAAATTATCCCCCACGCGCCGCACCCTCCGTGAAGCTGCGCCGCCTCCAGCGGGTCGTCGAATTTCAACTTCTCGGCCAGTTTGTTGCACGAGATCAAAACGATAGCGGCCACGAACCCGCATACGATCGCCGCCCACGGTTCGACGACAGAACATCCAGCAGTTATCGCCGCGAATCCGCCGAGAAGGCCGTTACAGACGTCCGTTACGTTCCAGTGACCCGACAGAATTCTTTTTCCGAAGAGAGTGGTGAGAGCGGCGGTGCATCCGGCGAGAGTTGTGGTGACAGCGGTCCGACCCACAGCTGACCACATCCCGTAATAGGATCCGGATGACCCGTACGGACTCAGGATCTTGGTAAACGAACCGGGGTTAAACCCGTACCACCCGAACCAGAGTAAAAATGTGCCCAGAACGACGAGAGAAGCGCTGTGTCCGCGGAGAGCAACGGCCCGGCCGGAGTGGTCGAACCGCCCGATTCGGGGGCCTTCGATGAAAGCTCCCCAGAGACCGGCGATGCCTCCGACCATATGGACCACACCCGACCCGGCGAAATCGATGACACCGGTTCCAAATAAGAGGTTTCCGGTATTTAAGGCACTAGCCCAGCCATCGACTGACCAGAACCAGTGGGCGACGACCGGGTAGACGAATCCGGTGAGGAAGGAGGAGTAAATGAGGTAGGCGACGAACTGAGTCCTCTCGGCAATGGATCCGCTGGTGATTCCGGCGGCGGCGATGGCGAAGGCCCACTGGTAGAGGAAGTGGCTGTAGTCGAAACCGGTGTTGGACGGGACCTCTTTGAGGCCGAAGAAGTGTTTGCCGATGAATCCGTTGGAGGGGCCACCAAAGGCGAAGGCGAAGCCGAAGAGGTAGTAGAAGAGGCCGCCGGCGGCGGCGTCGAGGACGTTGGTGAGCATGATGTTCATGGTGTTCTTGGCGCGGACGGAGCCGGCGCAGAGCATGGCGAAGCCGAGCTGCATTGAGAAGACGAGGTAGGCGGAGAAGAGGAGGAAGGTGGTGTCGACGGCGTAGGCGGTGTCGGAGAGCTTGGAGGAGACGCCGGCGATTTGGTTGCAGATGAAGTTGGCTGCGCCGGTGGAGTTGGGCCCCCCAAGGAGGTCGGCCAACTGGGTAGCCGAGCAGTCTAGTGTTGCCCACGTCGCCATTGGAGCAATTAGAGAGAGAAAGAAGAGAGGTGAAGTTGTAGTCGTCTGCTCTCTCTAGCAGTCTAGTTGGCTACGTATGGGGTACCTGTACGGTACATATAGGGGGGAGTGGGAGAGTTTTTGACTTGGTGGCTTGACTTTTTTTTTAGCGGTGTGGGGTCCACCTCATGGGGTGTTCATACGTGATTTGATGACTTTTTGGAGTCTGATCATCTGCAGCTGATTTGGTTTTGGAAAAGGTGGGAATATACGGTCAGGATTCAGATCCATCATCCATGAATATCTCTCTCCGTTTTTACCTTAAACATGGGTTTGTGTAATTAACCTGTTACTTAAATGAATTAGTAGAAAAGAGTGGTTGCAAATTAGATCTAAACATGTTAAAAAGGAAGAATAATGACACGCCCCGACCCTGATATTCCCCGAATACCAGGACCGACACGTGCTGACCGACACCCGGGGGTGACGAAAGCCATTAATTGATACAAAAGCTAAGAATAAGAAATAGATAAGGGATAGAAATTTGAAATACAATTAGTTAAAAGTTTTAGGAACGTGCTCAGAGCATACAATTAAACATAATCACTAAAAAGAATTTAGATAAAATTTAATGAATAAAGGAGTGGGTCCTACATCGAGAGGATCCGAAGATGCTGCTGCGGAAGTGTCTTCACGACGGGATTATGTGCCTTGATTCTAAGTCTTGAATGGGGGCGCAAAACAAAGGTGAGTGGACCAAGTTCATATATATAATAATAATAAAACAGTTATCAAGATACTAACCCCCACAGTTTATATAATGAAAACTACTAGCATAATAAATGATGGATTTAATAAAAATCCTAGCATGCCAAAAATATCTCAAAAGCCATATCGCGGAATATCATCGCGTAAAACCAAAGCATGAATCGTCTCACATATCGTCTCGTAAACGCAGTGTGTTGCTAGTAACATCACTGAATAAACATAACTCCCGGCCCAATGCCTGTCACCGTGTCCCTCAGCCTTTCGCTAGGGATTATTTCTCCCGGCCTAAATGCCAACACCAGATCCTCGCCCCAGGCGGCATAGTGTCCACTAGGTACGCACAAATAGTTACGTCTCTCTTAAATAACCACTTCATAGCATAGGTTACCGATCATCGTCTACACTATAAAGAGGGGTTCAAAAACATGTTCTAGCATCCTATCGTCATCTATCAGATAGTCTACCAGTTCATGGTTTTAATAGAAAATACGATATATTAAAATATAGCTCAATATAGGCTAACAATTAATTCCTCACCAAAACACGAGACGATAATCAATATATTAAATCAACAAGCTTCACATAAATCAAATAATAAATCCGTAGGCATGCTAATCATTTATGCAATTAAATTATCAAATCATGTAATTTTAGAAGGGGTCCACTCACAGTACTTAGTTGCCAAAAGCTGCGCCACTAGCGAAGACGGAAACGTCACAATAATTGCCCCTAAGCACATAAAGAGTCCAATAAATAAAACTATATAATAGAAATTGAATTTGGGAAAACGAACATTGGAAACGGATTTAGAACGTCGAATTACCCTAAGAAGAGCCCGGACGAAAACCCGAAAAGTCAACCCTAAAGTCAACGTTGACCGGGGGTCAACGGTCAAAGTAGGTCAAACGGGTTTTAGGCTTGAAATCCGGATTAGGGTTTAGGTTAAATAGGATTAGGATCTATTGGGTTTTGGAATTCTAAGGTTTTGGGTTAAAAGGGTTTAGGGTGAAAAGGGGTGGTTTGGGCTTAAGCCCAAACTCACACACAACACACACACACATACACACACTCACACACTACACAAACCCTAAAACACACACACACACACACGGGCTGCACAAAGGCAGGCCCTCACAATACACACACAAAGGCCCTAAGGCCTCACAAAGGACAGGGCTTTAAGCCCTTCGACAGAAATCGGCCCAAGGCCATTTTAAAACTATAACTAAAAGATAAAAGGGTGCGGGCTGGGTTACTGGGCTAGCCCAATTGGCTAAGGCCCGAGGGGTTCTAATGGCCTGAAAGGCCTGGTTGGTGAGGAAGAAGAAGGCCGGAGATTCGGCCGGAAAATGCACAATTTTTAAACGGCCATAACTTTATCACTACTCAACGAAATCAAGCGAGACAAAAACTAAAGTTGTAGCCCTTGAAGAGACGAAGAGAATGGTACCTCACACGACGTCTAACTCGCCATGGTTTGGCCGGAAAATGCCTCGAAAGCCTCGGAGGTCGCCGGAAACTGGGTAAGATTCAAATGAGTATAACTTCCTCAATACTCAACGAAATTGAGTGGGAAAAAAGGAAAGTTGTAGTACTCGACGAGACGAAGAGATTGATACCTTACAAGCCGGCCAACCCGCCGTGGTTTGGCCGGAAATGGCCTCAAAAGTCTTCGGAGTCGTCGGGGGAGACTTGGGTGTTCTCAGGGTGTCCCGAAGCTTCGTCAAGACGAGGGAGAGAGAGAAGAAGGTTCCAGAGGTGATGGTGGTATCGTAGCTAGGTGGTTATGGTGGTGGGTGCTCACGGAGATAGAGAGGGAGAGAGATGAGTGAGTGCAGGGATAAAACGAAGAAGAAGGAGGAGGTTACGGGGAGAGCAGAGAAGAGAGAGAGACCGGGGGAAAAACAAAAAAAATTATAAGGTGGGCCCTACGGGTTCACCAATTAAGACCTTAAAACAATTTTTAAATAAAAGTAGGGCTGGGGTGTTTCAAATAATTTGTAAACAAAATTTATAAACTAAATGATATGTTATTAATAAAAATAAGTACGTTTATCAACGTTTAAGTAATTGACTAATCATCAACTCTTTTTTAGTTTTCAAAATTTTATTACCCTTTTAAAAATAGGAGTGTGCTATCTCTACATTTCTTTTTACTTATCTTACATCTCTTGTTAATTTATATTTTTTAATATTTTTAATTCATTCGATTCAACTGGCGAAAATTGAAAAAGAGTGAAAAGTAAAAAAAAAGTGTGGATAACACACTCCTAAAAATAAACAAATTCTTAATTGTGGCACATGCTGCGATTTTTTTTAATAAACTATATTATCTCTACTAATTAATGAAATTCTCTTTGTCAACCTGTTTGGGCCCAAAATAATAGTTTGGGCCGAGTGTAGAACCATTCTCGGCCCGGAAGGCCTTGCGACAAGAAGACCATGGATCGTTCAGCTTATGGGCTTCCAAACCTAGGCCGGTTAGGTTAAAATGCAATGACAAGCCGAGTCCTGATACAATAGGGATTCTCGGCAGGATTAACAGCCTAGAAGCGGATAGGGCTCGAATAAGGACTAGGTTCACAATCCTAATGAAAACAGGACTGGTTGAGGTGATATTGATCCGGAGAGGGAAAACCTAGTCCGAATAGGATTCTATCTCAGATTCGGGGTCCAGTGCTATAAATAGCGGAAGCTGTGCATCAGGAAACCCCCGACAAAATCAACACAAAATTGCCCTGCGCAAACTCTCACAACTTGAGATCTTTTTCTTTTCCTTTTTCGCTGACACATCTTCCGTTGGCATCAACAGCACTGTGGAAGCAACCGGTGATATCTTAAGTCGGCATAGATAGCTCTGTCACCGTAGAATTGGTCGGTCTCGCAGTATCTTCCGTTGGCATCAACAGCACTGCGGCGAGAACGGTCGATTACCTATCCAAGTCTCTCGGTCGAGAAGGGTTTTCGAATCCTTGTTGGTCGAGGTCATCTCATTAGCCTTCTCGGCGAGGTGAGGTGTCACAGTTATTACATTCGGCACATTGAAAGCCGAATTCGGTTCGTGAACTTTGTAAGAAATAGCAGCCTTGTCTTCAGGCTCGAGAACCCAAGAGGCCGAGACGTGTTCCTTTCTCGGCCGCAATCGCAAGACGCAGAAGTCAGTAGCGCGACCCAACGCAACATCATCAAATTTACTCCTCGGCCGAGCCTCGGCCGACGAGTTGGCACGCCCCGCAATCACCGAAGGACGTAGTTAGCTTAGAATATACTCGGCCTGCGCGCCACGTAGGCTTGGTAGATTTTAGGGTCAACATTTTGGCACGCCCGGTGGGACCCAGTGCTAAAACTACGAAGTTCATGCCAATTGAAACGCGATCGGTAAAAAAGAAAACAGCTATGGGAAAATCAACAGCCGATTTACCGATTCAGAACGTAGGACAAAGTGTGCCACAGGCGCAGAATCCCCTTAGCACCGGGACACCTGAGTCCACAAGTGCGACTCGCCGAGAAAGGGAAGTTAATCTCGGCGGTCAACACCGCAGTCTAGAAATCCCTAACAGGAACACTTGTGTTCTCAATGAAGGGATAGTGGAGGATTGCGACGAGGATGGCGGTGAAGGATCTGACCCACCAACAAGGTCGTTTCTTCGAAAGCGACTCGACGAGCAGTCTCGGTCAGTTGAGCAGACGTTTAGCCGAGGTATTGACAAGCTACATGACGTGATACTCAATTCCACTGAGCAGCAAACCAGACTGCTCGAAATGCTGGTTAGTAAATTCAGTGACGGCAGGCCTTTCGATCCTTTCCAGCGCTTGCCACCAAGAAATAATCCGTTACCAATGGTACAGGCCGAGCCAATTCCTGCTCGGCCCAAACCAATTGACTTGGAAAAGGTCGGAGGGTCAAATAGTAGGTCGGACGGAATCGACCAGAGGGTCGAAGCAACACCTGTTGATATGACCGAGGTTCAGCGGATGATCGACTCGGCCATGAAGAAAAGGGCCGAAGTTTCCTAAGTTTATCCATCCGTACCCGGCCTACATAGAAACGTTCGGATATCCGAAAGGTTTCAAGATTCCGGATTTTAGCCTTTTTTGCCGGTGAATCGTCCTTGTCTTCGTTGGAGCACGTGGCTCGTTTCACCGCGCAATGCGGCGATGTTCATAGTGATTTCCATAAATTACGGCTGTTCAACTTCTCGTTGACCGGCTCGGCATTTGCTTGGTATATCAATCTCCCTCCTAATTCCATCCAAAACTGGGAGGAGTTGGTCGAGAAATTCCACGAGCAGTTTTATCGACCAGGGTTGGAGGTGTCGGTTTCTTCATTAGCAAGGA